ATGCTAATATATTCAACCATACTGTTCCTAATCGTTTTTAATCGTCTGTAAGGTATCGTCAAAATAATACGGGAAAACGGAAAGCTTATAAAACACTCAGTTTAACTGTCGGTCCAATTTTCAACACATTTATTCTTCCGACTTTGTTTACCTTATGTTGTGAATAATTTAAATTATAGTACTGTTGCGTTTAGTTTGTTAATGTACTGCTACAGACTGGTCTAACCCCCATCAAATGTACGTCAATTATTTTAGAACTGAGTATGAATTCTCGCAGACTAGATAGATTTTATGTCAAAAAACAAGATTCTGCGTTGCGTCTTAACAAGGAGATGAATCTCCACGGCCAACTTCAGAAAAGTTGAAAATTCCATTAGGATGAATCCGAGATTCACAACATAATAAACTTCTTATGCAGGATCGTAGCATAAAATATTTCTGCATTTTGAATTACATTCGGCCACAGAATTCTATGTAAATAGACACTATATAATAAAGAGTATATAGAAACTAAAACACAATAAACTGAAAAATACCAGCAACTCCGTTCGATAACTGGCTCCGAAGTTCTGCACGTTCTTCGCAACGTCCCGCATGTCGCTTTCCGTTGGATTGTCATTGCTGTGGAAAAAGTTATCAGTGAGAAATGACCGAACGGCCCTCTGAGACACGTTGATAAACTCTCGCAGCTGTTCGCTGGCGGGCAGAGACTCGACTCGTTGCACACACGAGGTCAGTATATGAATCATTCCTAGCCAAGCGTCTAAAAATCACACAGCTTATTAATTGTGTTAATTATTTGCCTGCATTTTATCGCATCATCCCTAGATTGACTCCAACGCGTTAACTTGATGCTGTGACTTAGGTCTAATGCAGTTAAAGGTACAACGGATAACGTATGGTCTGAATAGTGAATCATTTACAGTTCATTCTGGCAGTCACTTGAAACGGCAGCTAATTTCATACTATAACGATATGAACGGATCAACAGTTTTTGCGGTACCATAAACTGTTCTGTTAAGAAAGTGCTGTTCAGTAAAATATTAAAACAAGTGGCGCACTGAACTGCCATGCAAGTCTGCATAAGTACTGTTTCATGCAACCAGAGCAAGGGAGAGATGAAGCATGCCCTGAAACTCGGCTTTGAAAAAGGTAGGCCTTACTTAACATATTCCAATAGCTTTAATATCATTTAAAACAAAACAAAGAATATTCATTGCAATTTATTTCTACACACAATACAAAATCACACATTTTGTACACCATATAATTACGATGTGCATAAATGCACCTTCTTCTTGTCCTTCCCATTTGCCTAAGAGGTTAGGACGTTTAAATATTATCATGCACTATTACACTATGTACAATTATTTAATTTATTTACAACACATCCATAACTTAGATATAATCACATATAACTAATGTAATAACACAAGTGACAATAAACATTTTCTATGATCAAGAATTCTTAGCAGAATCTTCAAGAGGGAATCAGACATGAGAATTGTGGCTCTATGAAATATTCCAATCTAGCAGTGTGGCCATAATTCTCACTCATTTCGCTGTAGACAGGAGATGTAACTAATTCGAACTCCTGCTTTTCTGTCGTGAGACGTTAGAAAACTGAGCACCACCCTGTGCGCGAAGGAAACAGGAGTCATATCATGTGTATGAAATATATTTGTCGACTCTGCCTTTAAACTAACGCATTCATGGCGGACTCCATTGAAACAGAGATCAACAGCCCACCATTAACTTCAACAATGACATTAGAAATGGCCTCTTCATAAAAGTGTGCAAAGACTGATATTTCAAAGGTTACTAAAATTACTTCCGTTCCTCATTCTCGATCAAAGTAAGAACATAACAGAATACAATGCCATCTGCTGTTCACAAGTCATCCAGCTACCCGCTTCTTGATTGGCTGCGACGAACCAAGGTGAGGCAAAATTGCTCGCTCAAAGTCAGTCTTGCTTATGATAGAGATCTTTATTTCTCGGAATTCGAGCCAGCACCCCAAGAAAAAGAAGAAAACTTTGTAACCGTTGGAATGTCGGTGCTTCATACGCTTACATGAGAGGGCCAATTCCAGTACACATATTTTCACGAAGTTAATACTGGGGCGATAATCGCCATATCTCTGTCACCAGCACCAGGAAGCCTTGTATTTTTTAAAGGCAGAATTCACAACAGCTACATAGCAAGAATAGTCTATATTACCGTTTCCTTCCAATTAATTTATTTGCGGTATCGGTTTCGGAAGGAAGAATGCTGAATGACACTGACCGGAGCTCAAATCCATGATCTCTAGGTTCTGAGTCTGTCGTAATATTGGCTTACTAACCCCAGTCTGAAGCAACGTAAGGCAAATTCCTTCCGGAAGAGAATCCGTTATAAAGATACCACCCTCAACCATGGGAATTTAGCTCACAGAATTCGAAAAAAGTTATAGAATTTGAAGCCTATCTCATTTTTACTGTCACTTTGTGCCTGGAACGTGCGCAAATAATCTGCGAAATATGTACAATATCTTAGTCATGGCATACTCAACACTGCAGTGTTTTGTCAATTTACACAGTGACCTGTATGTGCAAAGCTGTGTAATTATTCATTATATCTCTATTCAAAAGTTAATTTATGATTTTGGTACACAAGAAAGGCGATAGAAAATGCCTAAAACACAATCGTAAAAAAAGTTAGCTGTCGTATGGTCAAGTTATGCAAACATTTTACTACCGTAAACCGATCTTTAAGCTCGTTCTGTCCTTAACAAATCTTAGAAAAGACCTAGCATGGTCCGAAATGTCGGCTACATGGTGACTTTTCATCTAGTTAATTGTTTATGACATCATCAAAAAAGAAGCAATCCTCCCCATATGGAAATCATATAGACGATCCAGCACTGCTTAGTTATATTCTTTGCTCTTGTGCTCTATTGCTACAAAATACTGCGGTCGTTTGCCGACTACTAACCTGCATATGGTAATTCGGCCTGTCTGTTGTGGAGGTTGACCACAAAGCTGCGCGCAATATGCGACAACACATCATTCTGTAATATCGGCTGTCCATGTATGCCGTTTGCTCGCTGCTGGTGCGTAGACTCTCCTGTCGCCTTGGTCGTTAATGCTGCCTGGTCGGAAGGCACGGAGTCGACAGCGACCGATGTAGGGACACCCTGCTGTTGTTGCTGCAACTGCAGCTGCAGCTGTTGACACAACGGAAGCTGCAAGCGTTGAATCGGCAGCGACGGAAAGGCAGCGCTGGCGGAGGGCATGTTGACAGCGATCGAAGTCTGGCCCGGTATTGGAAAAACTACTGGCGGAAATTGGTACACTAAATATCGAACTGGGTTCAGACAGAATATCAAGTAAAATGAAATACACGCAAGTTCAGAAGTACATCGACATACAATTCATAATGCTTTATCAGCGAACAATTTTCCATCCATCCACGTCACTGATGCGGAAGAAGATCACCGCCATCGTCCTATCACCTTCGTCACCAGCAATATCGTTATCACCATGATCGATGGCACAATGATGAGGTTATAAACGAACAGCCGTATGGATCGCCACCGGAACATGCTTCGCCATCTTCCATTAATATGCTTAGACGATGTTCCAAAAGGCAATAATAAATCATCGTCTCTTTATGCTTCAAGTCATAATTTGAGTTCAACAAGTCCAACAGCATTCCGCCGAAATAAACGCCATACGAGAGAAAAATAAATTACAAACTGAAACTCACTTTCGGCACTGGTGAACTGGGTTGGTCCGCCGATCATTCCGCTAACTACGGATCTCATCATCAACTCTAGGCTTCTTTCCAGATCCTGCGCTTCCAGCTCTGCATCCTCCAGTTCAGTGCTGTGGCTAGAGAATGCCACGGGCATTGAATCGGCTAATCGCGTTTGTTCTTCCCGCACCTGTAGCTGTGGTAGTGTCTGAGGTTGGAAATGAGGCTGACTCTCAGACGGCTGCTAAAATTATCATTTTCGGTCAACAAAACGGTTACAAAAAAAATTTTTTTCAACAAAGGTTCAGAGTGAGCGAAAAAACAATTACGGCCTGCCTAATTTCTTACCAGTTACAAGTGATCTAAGTGGACAAACAAAATGACACTTCTGACCCGCTGTTACTACGAAATGCAGTAACGGCAAAAAACAACGTCATCAAAGAAATTCTGTTTAACTGTCAACTGAAGTGACTGCCATCAGATTTAAAAAACTTAAAGAAAACCTGCATCGTTTCGACGTCGTCCGCGTTTACACTTTCATGATGAGCAGAATATATCTACTACATCGTCATTTCATTAGATTCGAGAAATATATTTCTTCTCAAGAGCAGATTTGCGGCAGTGAAGCAAAGAGCTACTTAGAAAAGTTCATGTCCATTACAGAATCGCAGGTTCAAATCTGAAACGTGCCATAAACTTTCTCTTATAGCCGGCTAATCCCTTGAAGCAAGGAATTCTAACTGTGTTTCGGTGCAGCAACGAGTCCAAAACGGGTGAAAAGCCGCTGATCTGCAAATAATAGAAGAGCTACTGGGCTATGGGCGGAAATACAACAGTTTTCGAGACACTGGTCCAACCATACTGTCTGATGGTTGCTATTCGCCATAACCTCCTCCCGAACTGATAAATGACTAACAATCAGCATATGGCAAACGTTAATTTTCTACTTTAACTTACGTACTTCCGCTGATAGCCTTTAAACTAACCGCTGACATTCCTAGCTGCTACAGAAAAAAAGT